GTGCCGACACCTGACCCCCGGGACCCCCGCCGAGGCCCCGGGCCCGGGGGTCGACAACCCTGCCTATGACGTCCGTTTCATCAAATTCGACGTCATCAATGGTCTGCATATGTCAAATAAAAAAAACATGTCACCCACTACAACTACTACAATAGCTCATGGGATTTAGGGGTTCGCCACACCACTGTCGAAAACACAATTTTCAATAGTTTCTCTTGGCCACACAGCCTGTCGAAATTGGAGACAGAAAGGAAATTTGCAAGTTGCCAAAGAATGCTTATCAACACCTCCTTTCGAAAGTTGTTGAATCCCCAGCCTGCTACTCCGATGCTTTCAACTGTCCTCGGCGGCACCATCGACTTCTCCTCAACATTTGGTGAGTGGGAGTGAGGTTGGGATGGACTAAGGGCCTCGCCACACCACTTTCAAAAGGCAAAAAAATCCGACAGCTGTCAAAATAAATTTGAAAGCCTCCCTTCGACGGTTTGCCCCCCTTTAGGCACACAACATTGTAAAGTGGACGTACTTGTGAATGCAAGATGGAAAAAGACGAGTGCGCCTGAGCGTACGTCAAACATTAGGGTAAGACCCCACAGGACAACGACAAGCAGTTTCAAAAGTCGCGAGGCAACTTCCCGGACCCCACATACCAAAATTCCCGTTGTGGAAAACGATGCGAAACCATTTTCACTCGGTCCACGGCCCCTTCATTCCTACGTGGCCCTAAATTCTCGTTTTCCAATACTCGGTTCGTTTACCTACCTCCCGAGTGCATACTCCAGCGCATGCGGATGAAAGTCGACAACCCTTCCTTTACAACCACTGGTAAGGGATCTGGAATAACCTTCCAGGCCCCAAAATTCCTATGGGTAACCGCCTCCGACACAAAAGCAAAATTTTGCGGTGGCAGTGGGATCCCCTCTATTTCATCATCTCCGTTGGCGGTGGGCAGTCGGCTGGAAGTCGAAGACTTCCAAAACCATTTGCCACCGTCCTGTGGGGTCCCTCCTTCGTCCATCACGACCTCATGCCCACTCACCAAATTTCGAAGAGAAGTCGATGGCACAGCCGAAGACTGTCGAAAGCATCGGAGTAGCAGAAGAAGGTAAGCAATGGCCAAATTGCTCTTCACTCGCAAAAGACTAACTTCGTTTCAACCGTGCGTGTACACTGCTCAGATCGTGCACGATTTCCCCTACATGTTTCAACCGGGTACGCCCCGGTCTCATCAGGAGGCTTGCTACACGCCCTTTGCCTCTCGGCCCACCGTTTCCTACCACCCAGAGCTAGTGAGGGCCAATGCGGCCTTGCCCTCATCTTATACTGTAATCCTTCCCTTGCACGATCACTACCTGATTCTATGCTAGTCTCTGATTGGCTCCTCCTTCCTACATAGGATCCAACTGGCTTTACGTAGTCGTCCAACCCTTCTTGAGCAGGTTTTGTGTCGTGCTGGACTGCTCTCCAACCCAGGTCTTTTTTTCGTGCGTGCCCAGACCCGTGTAGTACCTGGGAGTATTCAAATTCGTAACATTTTCCCGCCTGTAATCCGTTACGCTCCACCTAACTCTTCCACTTCCAATTAGTTGTCTGTCCGTGCCTTTTTCTATGCTCACGTGGACCTTAATTGGGTTTCTCTCCTGCCCCACTCCGACCTTTTTCTACGGCCTGCTCCTGCGTGCGTGCGCGTGTACTACCTGTGAAGAACCGTCCAGTTTCAATTCCCGCCTTGTACTATTCAACCGTTTTTTACGGCTTGCCCCGAAAATATTTTTTAATTCCTATTGTATCTGAGTCATCGGGAAGCGGGAACAAAGCCGCGTCCCTGCAGTCTTGTCCGCCGCTCCCAATCTTCACAAAATTCCTAACCGTACTTTTCCTTTTAAAATTTCCGACGGGAATACTATAACTAAATTACGTAGTGCTGCATTTTTCGAAAACAGAAGCAGAGAACAAAAACCGAAAAACAAACCAGGGCACGTCCTACCGCCTCTCCCCTGGTGATTTTAAAATTTACGAGCCTCCCTTCCCGCCATGTAGTATACAACCGCTCCTGCGGGTTACCTCCATATTCTAATATGTATTCCTACTAATATTTCTATTATTTAAATTCCTACTAATTAAATTCCTACTGCATCCGAAGTATTGACAGCTGTTCCTAATTCCTTCCGAAAGGCTGAGACTACGAGCCTACGATACCTCCAGCCTGTTGAGATATAACCACGCCTAAGAGACGGGTCGGGTGACTCTCCCCTACCCGGTTATCTAGTTATCCCCTCCACCTGCCTGCCCGCGTACTAACCCATGATACCATGCAGTCGAGGAGCATTCCCCACACCTCCTCTTCCGCGATGGTACCCCTGGCAAACTTTGGCAGGGAGGATTCAACAACTTTCGACAGGAGGTGTCGAGAAGCATTCTCTGACAATTTGCAAATTCTCTTCCTGTCTCCAGTTTCGGCAGCCTGTGTGGCCAAGAGAAACTATCAAAAATTGTGTTTTCGATAGTGGTGTGGCAAGGCCCTAATGCTTGTCGTACCCTCAGGCACATTCGTCTTTTTCCATCTTGCATTCACAAGTGCGTCCATTCTACAGTGTTGTGTGGCTAAAGGGGGGCAAACTGTCCAAGGGAGGCTGTCAAATTTCTTCTGACAGCTGTCAATTTTTTTTGCCTTTCGAAAGTGGTGTGGCAAGCCCCTTCTTAGGGCGTCGCCACACCACTCCTGAGTGCATTTTCTGTTATTGAGGCTCGTGAGTGCTCCCAGTTTTTTTTGGGAAATCAGGAGTTGTGTGGCGAGGCCCTTAGAGCACCAGTACATGCCCGCTGTCAGCCACGGGCCCCTTTCGGAGGCCGCCCACCGCCTACTCATTTTATCTACGGCACTCGGCCTCCTAGATTTTTGGAGAGGCTCAAAACAGTCTCCAGTTACCTGAGGCCATGTATAGGATGACAGGAATAGGAGCATATTAGAAACCAAGGGCCTCAAAAAAAAAAAAAAAAAAAAAAAAAAAAACAAGGCCCTCGCCATCCCACTGTCGACACGGAAACTGTACGAGTGCATAGACCCTTAGAGAATGGCAAGACGCATCCGTTACTAAATAGCAACGGATGCACCATACCAATTTGTGCCGATGCATTCGTTTCGTTCTCTTCTCGTTTCGACAGCCGTGTGGCGAGGGCCCAAGTCTAACCCCCCACTAGTGGGACTTAGCCCCCGACTGGCTCGGCTTCATACTCCAGCAGTTGTCTGCCCACTCAAATTCTAAGGACATCCCTGAAATTAGAATGGCATGTAGCTAAGTAGGACTAATTGCTTTGTATGTCTGTTTCGGAACGACGCAGCACAGAGGAACTCAACCGTGTTAGGCGTCCTCACCTTCAGGAGTCGAATGGCGGCGTCTCCGTGTTAGGCGTCTTCACCTTCAGGGAGTCGACTGCTGGGGATACCCGTTTGTTTGCAAGTAGAGGCTTCACTGTACTCGCCTGTCTGCTGCAACAGCACGTGCACGTACAGGTTGTCACTGTCGACTGATGGCAGGCTGGACTGCCTAACGCGATGGCAGCCCTGAAATCTTAGTGATCATGATTGATTATTGGACAGGCGTCAGCCAGGATAGTGTATTAAACCCGCACGTGACTCAACACTGGAGACGTGCAGCTTTCCTACCTTTCCACGGCCTGCAACTGTCACACTGGAGCGCCTTCAAATGCGTCACTCACAGTGAATGGCCACGTCCTGCTCAAAAGGAGCCGTGCACTCTAATGTCTGGAGGCCATTAGAGCATATAGTTTATCCGCTAAATCCAGAGAAATGCAACAGTCGATCGCTAATTCGTTTTGATCCGTCCTCGAGTAAATGGCGAGCAAGCCTCGAAGTTGAAACTGCTCCGTTGTGATATGCAGGACAAAGCTCGATAAGTAACTAAACGTGCATAGTTCATTGTGCGCTCTGTCGTTGCCCATACCTCGGCGTCGGAATGGCGCAGTACCAGGGAGAGCGCCCCAGTAAACGGCGAAGTTTTCAGATGCAACGTGCGAGAACTCCATTGGCGCCAGAGCTGGAGCCAGGCAGCGGACTGTCAACAAGGTTCCCTCTTACGGGAGCCTTGAATCTCGTCGGTCCCTCTTTTGGAAATAATGATTGTTCCGCTGGGTACAGGTTCAGAACATACGCGAACTCCGACGCCAGACCCGTAAGCAATTCGTCTACATTTTCTCTCGCCGAGGAGGTCCTGTCTTCTTCGACTGCTGCTCGCGTACATTCTCGTGCGGTAATTCCTTACACGATGCCTCCCGCCGGATGGATGCCTTGGAACTCACTCGCCGCCGAGAGCCAGTCCAGAAGGACCAACGACAGTCTGGATGGAAGCCGAGACTCGCGAGCTGTCGACTGCAGTACCAACGTGTTCATGTTTGGAAAAGAAACTGCAAGATGGAACCCCTACCTTTCGAGTTCCCCCTACTCTATTTCGGAGTTTGGGCATTCCGGTGGCACAAGGATAGAAGGGAAGAGTTGGAAAACGACCGCGAGCGTGGCTACAAATGTGGCCTTATCCGTAGGAGCGGTCGGTGACATCGTGCCATGCCAGACGTCATTACCGGCAAGAGTCAGGGTGCGGGGTGCTCCGAGAATCGTGGGTGCGAGAGCTTGGAGGATTGAAGCAGCCAAAGAGGGTGTTGACGGTCGCTGCGGTTTGGTAATGCCGTCTACGGTTCCTCGGAGGACGGGAATGCCTCCTTGCAAGGAAGCTCCCCCGTCTGACACGGTGATGGCCATCAAGGACGCTGACAATATACGAACGGGTGAAGATGTCGTCCAGTTTTACGCTCGGCATGGCCAAGACAGCGGGGTCAAGTTCTTTTATTGCGTCAGAGCAGATAAGGATATCGGCTTTCGGCCGTACGATCTTGTCGTTGTCGGGCGCGATCGTATAACCCCTGAATACTTCACCATCTCTGCATCTGGGGTTGTCCATGTTCGCCAGGATAAGGCGAGTGAGTTCACCGCCCTGGGGGAGTGGATGAGGGAGCGCTTCTGCTTCAATGTCCTCAGACGACTTAGATTCTTCCGTAATTACCTCGTCCAGAAGACATTTGCAATGTGGCATCGGTACGTCAGGCACAAGCTCTATTTCCACGTGCGCAGCCTGATAATTGGGCGGCTCTTCTTAGCCAAACCAACGTTCTGCAGGGCTCTGGCGGAGGTCCACACCTACGTCCATGACGTCGATAGCGTGGCACTCATACATGTCGTGGCTAACCACCTGTACACTTTGGATGAGTTTTCGGATTTGCAAAGCCAGTTGCGAAACCAGAAAGCTACGCCTGCGCTTGACGCCTGCGTGGAGAAGGTGCAACAGGTGCTTGAAAAAATATGCAGGGATGTGTCCAAGCAGGCAAGACTGTATCAGGTAACGTGATTAATGACTGCCAACCATCGTAACTACATACCATACCCGCGCCCCAAGAAGATCGATTCGTACCGGGACTCCGAGAAAACCGAATCCTTCCTCGCTTAATCCATTGTGAACGACCATCTCGCAGCCCGAATAACTAGAACCGAATTGGTATTTTGGAAAAGCCTGAAATTTCGCTGTGCATATCACATTTTGAAAATCTGGTCTGGCGAGCGCTGGTAAGGTACGTGTTGCGTCCAGTAGGTGCCCATGGAGTTTTAAATGTTGTTCCCATACTTCATTGCTTAATGTGTACTTGATTGGAATCGTCCTTCCTGCTCTCGGTTAAATGCAAATGCTCCGAACTCCAGGGAACATCGAGTACAGCACACATTGTGCTCTGTTTTGGAAGAAACCCTACGGCCTGCCGTCCGTTGTCTCCTGCATCTCCGTTTATTTCGTTGCGGTCACGGCCTCTCCCATTCTGCAGAACAGTAGTACAGCGCCCCTTCCACTAGCACGCTAGGTTGAGTGATATACCCGATGACTACTACCCCTCCCCTTCGCCTCCTCCCAAGTCCAGTTATTGTCTCACTTGCCTTCGCCTGCCGGGCACCCATGATCATCCTTTTCCTCCTCGTCCAACGTGCGACCTCTTCCAGATCATGACATCCAGCAGGGAGTCTTGCAGCGTCGTGCTGTGTCTGATGCAATAAAGTCTAACGAGCTAGGGACAACGTATTCATCCGTGGTATCATTCATCTAGTTGTCCTCGTGCTCGTTTCCCGCCTTCCCTCTCATTCCCCCTGTTCCAACGTCACATTTCCCTCTCTTTCCTTCTTAGCTCATGCAGCATTTACATATCCTATTCAGTGACAAGCTGAAGAGCCACCTTGAACCAACTTTGATCATGAGAACCTTGTCAATCGGCTAACGTCGAACACTTCGAGATTCTCACAGTGATCAGAAATGTTAAACGGATTAAAACAGGGAGGGAAACATTCCTGCAACTAATGGCTACTGGAATAGCGCAGGGGCTATCAAGACACGTCATGTAAAATATACCGAAAGTGAGCATGGGCGATAATTTTTTTTGCCAGCAAACACGTCACATAATCAAGTAAGAATGACACACCTCTGAATTCCAAACTGAAAGATGTCATCGTGAGGTCAAGGCACACTGAGCTTGCCGCCTAAACCGCCGAAACTTTCCGAGATTGACACACTTCGAGGGAGTCTTGACGAGTTCCACCGAGGGCCACAGGGCGGCTAGGTGGTCATGTGGCCTTGTTTCACCTCTAATTAGTCATGAATGAGCATCACCCGCTTTCGCCCCCTTTCCCCCCGGCTGTTTCGTGGGCATTTCTGGCCAACACTTCTAAGGAGTACTCGACGTGGAAATCGACGCGTGGCGGAAGCTAAACCACATCACGGTTCCATACACTCCAGAAACTCTTCACTCAAGAAATAACGTCGCGAAGACCTGTTCAGTGAGTTTCGTGGAACGATCGTCGCGCGTGGCGGCAGTGGGCGTTTCGACGATCTGCGGTCCTGAGGGCTGGTTCACAATGCATCAGTCACGTTGCAGAAGTTAATCTTTCGTCCCCAATATAGGCACCAAGATGCAATGATTTCATGCGATAGCCCTCAGCTGATTCATGCCTATCATGTTAGAGAAGATCAACGCAAAATCATCGATGCCACTTCCGAAACATTCATACATTACATAAAGCAAAACAATGCACTTATAGATATGTCGATGAAGCAGTTTGCGAGGCGAGACTGCAGCGCCAACATCCGCGCCTGCTGATGAAACCTCTAGAGGTGCTTGGGCTGGTCGACTGGTACTGCCAGTCCAGCCTCGGTAGGGGACGACAATGGTTTTCTTTGTTATGATCTTTCATCACCCATGATGGGAAATTCAAAGGTGAGAAAATGCAAAACTTGCTGAACCCAACAGGATGTGCAAGGAGATAAAGAGCGGAATGGAATGAACAGGACAGAAGAAGAAGAAGAATTCCGCAAGTTGGAACCTATGTGTTCCCGCTCTCTTCTTCCTCCCATCCAATCTTCTTCTCCCTTCCTCCTCCTCCAACAACCAATTAATTACAGCAACACGTGAATAAACGATCACGAAACATGTCCAAGTATTTCCCCTTGCTGTCAGGACTCAAAGAGTTCGGCCTCACCCTCACTCCTCTTCTCTCGGTTCCTTATCTAGCTATGGCTGTGCGTCAATGTCACCTGTCCAAAGGACAATGCAACTACTACTGTGCCCCTCCCGTCGCATTCTGCCATAACCACACACAGGCGCCCTTTAGATGCAGCGACCACCAAGGAAGTGCAGATTACCATAGCCAAAGGTAAGTCTCCCGTGTCGGTTCCTTCCTCCTTCCTTGCCCTCGACCTCCACTATTTTCCTAACACCTCTTCACCATAGACCAGTTTTAGGTCCTTCGCCATCTATCTCCCTAACCTAGGCCTACACCTACTACCACTGCTCCATAGTCATGGAAGTATTCTCCTTCACCCTCCAGCTCCGCAGCTCAGCTGGAGATCGGCCTAACTTCACTCTCCGCGCAGAGCAGCAGCATGACTGCGGGGTAGCGTGTGTGCCCATACATTGTTGCCCAATGATATCCTCCCTCCTTGGCCTCCAGCCTCTCTCTGCCAGGTAGTGCCGCCTTTTCGGGTGTGCTAGGCCTACCAGTTCTTTCCTCTGGGCGGGAACATCATTGCAGTGGGTGTGCTATCTCCCTAACCTAAGCCGGCACCTACTACCACTGCTCCAGAGTCATGGAAGTATTCTCCTTCACCCTCCAGCTCCGCAGCTCAGCTGGAGCTCGGCCTAACTTCAGTCTCCGCGCAAAGCAGCAGCATGACTGCGGGGTAGCGTGTGTGCCCATGCATTGTTGCCCAATGATATCCTCCCTCCCTGGCCTCCAGCCTCTCTCTGCCAGGTAGTGCCTCCTTTTCGGGTGTGCTACAGTAGGCCTACCAGTTCTTTCCTCTGGGCGGGAACATCATTGCAGCGGGTGTGCCACCGGGCCTACCCGGGCCCTGGTCCCACTGCGCATCGTGCAGTCACTCGATAGTGTCCTGTCAGTGATAGCTACCCTTGGCTGAAGTTTTGTTCGCAGCCAGAGGCTGCGCTTGCCTCGGTTGCTTTTTGTCGTTTAGTGTCGCTTTCTTTTTCGGGGAATGTCGCGGAGTTCAAATGAGGTCTGGCGGGGTGTTTTTGGGCTTTAACAAAAGGTGGGAAGGGTGCGGTCGCAGCTACCGGTAGTGCGAGTGGTGGTGGCAAGCTTTGGGGAGTGCATGTCCAAAGGTGGTTTCATTGCGGTCATTTGGGCCTGTGGTGGGCGGCGGTCAGGTTTCCAGTCATTTCTGGGGGGGGGTCAGGGTTTGGAGATGGAAAATGAGTCGAATTGAATCGAATGAGTTGATGGAAAATGAGTCGAAGGAGCCTTTACCTTGTCTAGGTTACTGGGTGCTTTTTATTTTTTTATGTTTTTTGTGTGGCGGTTCGCTTTTTTTTTTTTTTTTTTTTTTTATCGAATGAGTCGACGACGAGACAATGAGTAGACGAGACTTTTCTGGGTCTGGGCGCTTTTTACTGGTTGCCTATTATTTTTTATTTTTTTTTTTTTTTTTTTTCTTTTTTTCTTTGGGTCTTTTTTTTTTTTTTTTTTTTTTTTTTTTTTTTTTTTTTTTTTTTTTTTTTTTTTTTTTTTTTTGTCCAATCGAACGAGTGGACGAGGCTTTTCTGGGTCTGGGCGCTTTTTACTGGTTGCTTTTGATTTTTTATGTTTTTTGCATGGCTGTTCGTTTTTTTTTTTTTTTTTTCCAGTCGAATGAGTCGACGATGAGACAATATGTAAAGTGATCGAAATTAATAAAGTCGACGAGGAGACAGTACGTAAAGTGGTTGAAATTAATAATTGGACGAAAAAGAAAAAGAAAGGAGAATTACTGTGCGCCCCCTTCGATATAAAGGACATGTTCAGGAAATTACCTCATGACTCTATCATGAAGGCGCTTGACTGGATTATCAGTTTCTATGAGGAAAAAGGGAAAAAGGCACTAACGGTTAAAAGAAGAGGGAAAGGAACTTCGTTTTCACTAAAGTACGATAATTCCAACCGGCTTATGATTAACTTTAATGATATTCGTAATACGGTAAAATTCGAACTTCAGAACACGTACGTTATGCAGTGGCAGCAGACCGGCTAATCAGACAAACGACAGGAATTCCAATGGGTAAGAGCACAAACCCTCCACTAGCCTGCATCCTATGTGCCTACAACGAACAGGGAAACAACAAAGCTAATCAGACAAACAACAAGAATTCCGATGGGTAAGAGCACAAACCATCCACTAGCCTGCATCCTATGTGCCTATAACGAACACTGTTTTCTATCTAGTCTGGGGAAACAACAAAAGCTAGTGAAAGGGACACGGCTAATGGACGACGTATCAATCTTTGTTTGGAATAAGGGAGATGACCAGGATGCAATCGATATCATCGATCGATTTTCATCAACTTACGACAAAGCACTCACACTGGAAAGAACAGATGAACAACACAAAACTTTCCCATAATTAAATAATCATTATAGAGTAAAATTACATTTTAAATTTTAAATTTTTATTTCATCTTTAAAAATGTCATTCCAATTTTAAAATTTTTCGTCTTACTTGAAAACTTTCCTTCCAGAAACCTTTTCGATAATTTACTTTCGGCCTTTAAAAAAAAAATCGGACCTTTTTGGGATAACGTGTTACAAGGTAAAATACGGGGATAGAAAAGTATCGCTGCATACCTGTATTTTTCGCACCTCTGTAGGAGGAAGCTCCAGCTCAGATCTGCAGAAAAGTTGAATTCGGATTTTCCTTGACACGCAGGGTCTGGGATACACGCTTACGTACTCGGTTTCATAAATTTTTTGGACTTAGCAGGGTCTGAGAAGATCTCTTATGGATCTGAGTATCTTCTTCAGGCTCTATTTGAGTTTTAGCGAAAGGAAAACATGTTATCGGGAATTCGGAAGTACGGCAGTAAGAATTCTTTGAGGCATCTATGAACAACGGAGGATGACTCAAGTATTTATTACCGAGTTACAACAATTACCCTCACATCGAAGTTGATCCTTACCCTCCTGACGAGGCTGGAATCTGGCTCCGACCGAAACTGGTAGAGGGAAGCCAGATTACTGTCGTCCGCAACGGGCGGTGGTAAAAGCCATAGCTAGCTCTCTTGTCGCCTACTCTCTCACCTTCTGAAGAGAACCTAGACTATGGTACTCTTGGTCCAAAATGTTTAAATTTTTCGAAGAGTTATTCAATTCCGAAGATACACATTTGGTACGCTCTCAGCGTGCTTGTGTTTTCACATTTCGCCGATCTTAGTCTTTGATGGGTCGACTCCTACTTTCATACTCCAATTGGTAAAGGCAGCGACAACCGACCAGGAGGCTCACTTGGTTCGGTGACCCTGAAGTCCTAGAGTCACTCAAAGTTACTCAAGTTACTCAAGTTACTCAAGCTACTTAAGTTATCTAGACCTCGAGTTAGCATTCAACACTTATCAATTATTAATTAATAATGAGAGATAGCGGATTAGAAACCGCTTAGACTCATGAATGAAAACGGCGGGAATGGTGGGTTCGACTCTGGAACCGGACCACTTGGCCCGCCTGAAGGAAATAGGGGAGGATGAAACGGAGGAAAT